TAGAGGGCCACGTGCTCTCACGTGGCCCTCTACACGGCCCTCACGTGGCCCTCTACACGGCCCTCACGTGGCCCTCTACACGGCCCTCACGTGGCCCTCTACACGGCCCTCAAGTGGCCCTCTACACGGCCCTCCCACACCCCCAGCAAGGGCGGGTCACGTGGTACTATGAGTGTGGCGGCCCTGGCAGCAGTGTGGGTGACAGTGATGGATCACCACCTACCCTAACACCGGGTGTCGCAAGAAGCTATCTTCACCAATCTCTCTCCCTCTATTATAGCACTCACGGCTTTCTCGGTACTGGATCCCTTTCAGTTATGTTTCCCCGAGGTCCGCCCAACCACTTGCGCTGGACGTGGTTGGGCGCCATTCCCTCCCCCCGTCCCATCCCAAATCCTTATCCTGACCCCTTCCCAGTGCGGTATAGTCGTAATGGCTTTTTGAGGTTATCTTGAGATGATTTCGGGGCTTTAGTGTCCCCGCGGCCCGGTCCTTGACCAGGCCCCCAGGAAGCAGCCCATGACAGCTGACTAACTCCCAGGTACCTATTTTACTGCTAGGTAACAGGGACATAGGGTGAAAGAAACTCTGCCCATTGTATTCGCCGGCGCCCGGGATCGAACCCGCGACCACAGAATCACGTGTCCATCGTGCTGTCCGCTCAGCCGACCGGCTCCCCTTGACGCTTTTCCCTTGACGTCCCCCTTGGCTTGACGCTTTCCCCCTGATAGTTCTCTTCCCTTCATCTCGAGGTCCCTGTAAAGACGATGCAACGGCAGGATTGAGCGCCAGCTCTTGGACCCCGCCTTCGTAGCTGTGGTTATATGCGGGGTTGTAGTGTCTCTACTTCGGTCCGTTTAGTTGAGTCCGTCTACTCGCTACTCTAAATGTTGCCTTGCAACATTTACTTCATGTGGCTTCGTCTGTCTCTTGATTTTGTCCAATCGTTCTGCTGTTGCACCTGGAGAACATTGTTCTAAATTAATTCGCCAATAGCACTTAAAATCTCATACGTCGCAACCATGTCTCATCTTTCCTTATCTTCTCTTTGTCTATCCCTAATTTTGTCTACATTAGACTATAGGCCCATCTTCCCGTGGCGGTGACAGCTGGCGGGTGACACATTGGCTCGGCGGACTCTTGAGTGTGTGCCGCCCAGTGAGAGGAGAGGGGGGGGGGTGAGTAGTCTCCCCCATTCTTCAAGACCTTGTCCAGCGCCAGGGGGCGCTTCTCCCCAGGTCAAGGCGGCCGCGGCACCATTCCTGATTCGAGGCCGCGGTAGGCCTACTGTGACATGGCGATAGGTTTCCATAGTGGTGCCAGGGGGGGGGGGGGGGGGGGGGGGGGGGGGGGGCGCGGGGGGGTGGGGGGGGGGGGGGGGGGGGGGTTACAGGGAATGTCAAGCATAGGAGTAGGGAAGGGAACTATCAGGGGAAAGCGCCAAGCCATTAGGACTATAATGGCGTCCACTAACACTGGTGAAATTTATTCACTAGTGTTAATGTGATTTTTGGCCTCGAGTAGCGAAGGATGGATTGTCTTTCGTGAGGGTAGCAGCTTTCCTAGCAGTAAAATAGGTACCTGGGAGTTAGTCAGCTGTAACGGGCTGCTTCCTGGGGGTGGAGGCCTGGTCGAGGACCGGGCCGCGGGGACACTAAAGCCCCGAAATCATCTCAAGATAACTCAAGATAAGGGTGACAGGCTTGCCAGCAGGTGTCCTTTGGGATACTTCGGCTCCAAGGACGGTAATGGCCTGTTTTCAGTGTTTCGACGTCATGAACATTAATGCCATTACCCCTGGGGTTGTGAGAGGCCTGTGAGGGCATAGTGGGAGTGTCCAGTGTCGCAGAGACCTGGTACATCTTACTCGCTAAACACAGGAGGCTCTAACTCTCAAGAGGTCACTCTCGTGGTCACCCTGACTCTTAATGAATGGAGAGAGAGCGAGGGGCAGTGACTCTACAGAGTGAGGGAGAGGGGTAGAGAGAGGGGGGGGGGGGTCACAGTGACTGTAGAGAGACAGAGAGAGAGAAGGGAAGTGACAGGCGTGGGGGGGTGGGGGGGGTGGCGCAGACAGTGTGTGAGGTCTTTACTGAAGGAATTAAGTGAGCAGTTACCGTCACCATAGAGAGCCGCTAACAACAGTAACCGTCGAAGAATGAAACAAATTGAGAACAAGCGAGTGACAGAGAAGAGTTGACAGATTCACAGAAATAGACAAATATACTGGTCGATCAGAGGTAGATGAACAGAAATACACACGCAACATACGTCATACAGACAGAAGATCCCAGAAAAAAACACATACTAATGTGACCGAGTGACAAGCTGTCAAACAGACAGGAAGCCTGACAGACAGACAGACAGACAGGTGAGCGGGAAAACTAGTGACTTGCGATCATGTTGTCAGCAAACGAGCCTAGGTGAGTCGTCAACATTACGGCCCCCTGGTGGCGTGCCGCGCAACTACGGAGATATGATAAACATCTGTTAATTGGTTCCCGAAAACGGATAGGCGGGCGGGTGGGTGTGGGCGGGCGGGCGGGTGTGGGCGTGGGTGGATGGGTGGGAAGGGGGGGGGGGCTAGGATAGGAAGTAGATGATGGATCGGATGAAAAAAAGGACCCGGGGGAGGAGGCAAGAGGTAGGTGTTGAAGAGAAGGGCGGTGAGATTGTCAGGTATGTGGACTAGATGATGATGATGACAGGTGTGTGAACCAAGCCTCGGTTGTCAGGTGTGCTTCCCAGGCGGAGATGACAGGTGTGTGTGTGTGTGGTGTACCTTCACTCTCTCCCACCCACGCCTGCACCTCAAATCACCCCTTTTCCACCCACGCCCCTAATCACCCCTTCCCCCCCTCCGCATAACACACGCCCATCTCCCCATCGGTGAACCAATCACACACTTGTGATTGGTTCAACGATTTGTTAACGGGTTTTCACTGTTCGAGATCCAGAGGGAGGAGATCACAGCAGAAATGTCAGGTCACTGTGAGAGTGACTGCCTCGAGTGCCCTGGACGTGTTCCAGTCATGTGGCCACCTCCTGCCCCGATGCCACGAGTCCACACTGTGGCCACAATGGCCAAGAGTGACCTTGGGTATTGTAACCACTGGGTGGGGCACGTGTCGGGTAAACCACATTGATTCAACGTTTAATGAACGTTGATAATGTGAGATTGAACGTTACTGGAGCCCTCTGGGTCGTGCCCGTCGTTACAAAACATATTAGCTGATTGGTCCATCTGAGGTGTCAACACAGTGAAGACGCCTCTCAAGGATTGGCACACACACACACACACACACACACACACACACACACACACACACACACACACACACACACACACACACACACACACACACACGTACACGTATACGTACACGTACGTACGTTATACAGCACCGCTCCTGTGCCAGGGCAGTCCACTACGGGCTCACCATAGCTCCGTACTACTTGGAACGTTTTGTTCCCAGTAGCTAAATACGCAACGCCTCTCAAGGAGTTGCTGACAACAACTCCTCCTAATCTCAAGGATGGTATTTAAAGAATTGTAATTTATTTGATTATGAGAGGAAGTAAGTTCTTGACCAGTCTCTCTGGACTGGTCTTTTTGTGAGAGGGAGAGGGGGGACGTACACAGGACACCACCCCCGTCACCCCTACACCTCCCCCGTCACCCCCACACCTCCCCCGTCACCCCCACACCACCCCCGTCACCCCCACACCTCCCCCGTCACCCCCACACCCCCACACCTCCCCCGTCACCCCCACACCTCCCCCGTCACCCCCACACCTCCCCCGTCACCCCCACACCTCCCCCGTCACCCCCACACCTCCCCCGTCACCCCCACACCTCCCCCGTCACCCCCCACACCTCCCCCGTCACCCCCACACCACCACACGTCACCCAATGGGGGCCTCGTAGCCTGGTGGATAGCGCGCAGGACTTGTAATTCTGTGGCGCGGGTTCGATTCCCGCACGAGGCAGAAACAAATGGGCAAAGTTTCTTTCACCCTAAGTGCCCCTGTTACCTAGCAGTAAATAGGTACCTGGGAGTTAGTCAGCTGTCACGGGCTGCTTCCTGGGGTGTGTGTGTGTGTGGTGTGGGAAGAAGAAAAAAAAAAGTAGTTAGTAAACAGTTGATTGACAGTTGAGAGGCGGGCCGAAAGAGCAAAGCTCAACCCCCGCAAAAAAACACAACACAACTAGTAAACACACACCTCCCCCGTCACCCACACACCTCCCCCGTCACCCCACACCTCCCCCGTCACCCCCACACCTCCCCCGTCACCCCCACACCTCCCCCGTCACCCTACACCACCCCCGTCACCCTACACCACCCCTGTCACCCCCACACCTCCCCCGTCACCCCCACACCACCCCCGTCACCCCCACACCTCCCCCGTCACCCACACACCTCCCCCGTCACCCCCACACCTCCCCCGTCACACCCACACCTCCCCCGTCACCCCTACACCTCCCCCGTCACACCCACACACACCTCCAGAGTGCTCCTCGAGCTGTTTACACTACACCCCCCTCAGTCTTCCTGCCTTCCCAACTGGCCTTATCCGGAGGCTGTTCGCGCATTCATTGGCTGCCTCATGGCGGAACGGACCAATCAGCTACCGCCATTGTTCGGCCCTCACTGACCAATCAAACGCCAGGAAATGAGGCCTCACGGCCAATTAAAATGCGTTATTTTGGCTCTCCAGTTGGTTCTAATTGTTCTGATGGCTGGGAGGCTGGCGTCAGGGGACCCCGGTCCTGGCGACCTACGGCGCTCGCCTCTTGCATCTCTCTAATATGTCAATAAATATTGAAATTCAAAGAAGAAAAACAATACCAGCTGTGCATATATGTCTTAGAATGTATGTATGTATGTATGTATGTATGTATGTATATATATATATATATATATATATATATATATATATATATATATATATATATATATATATATATATATATACATTGCCATGACCTTGCCTTACAGTGGGACCTGGTGTGTGAGCGAGAGTTCCTGCCCACACTGGGACTGGTGCTGCTCGGCGCCAGTGGCCTCCTCGGCAACTTCATCTTCGGCTACATCCAGGATGGGTGAGTGTGGGAGGTGGCTTGGAGGGGATAGAAGGGGGTGGTGGCTTGGGGAGGATAGAAGGGGGTAGAGGCTTGGGGAGGAGGTTAATAAAAAGGGGAGTGAGGAGAGAAGGGTGTACATAAAGAAGGGGGTTTAGGGAGGGAGTGGTGAAGGGATGATGACCGTGGGGGGGGGGACTGTGAGGGGTGTGTATGGAGCAGGATACACAGTTATGGTGAGGGAGAGAGGAGGAGGGAAGGTGAAGGTGGATGAGAGGTGGGAGGGAGAAGGAAGGAAGGAAGGAGCGAGAGGAGAAGAGTGTAAACACTGTGCACAGTACACAGTGACTGTGCCATACAGGTGACGGGGAAGTCTTCACAGTTATTGGATCAAATTGTTGTACTTCACCCCCCCCCCTTAGCACATGTTCTCAACCCTAGCACATGTTCTCCCCCCTAGCACATGTTCTCCCCCTAGCACATGTTCTCCCCTAGCACAAGTTCTCCCCCCTAGCACATGTTCTCTCCCCTAGCACATGTTCTCCCCCTAGCACATGTTCTCTCCCCTAGCACATGTTCTCAACTAGCACATGTTCTCCCTCCTAGCACATGTTCTCCCTCCTAGCACATGTTCTCCCCCCCAGCACATGTTCTCCCCCCTAGCACATGTTCTCCCCCCCTAGCACATGTTCTCCTCCCTAGCACATGTTCTCCCCCCTAGCACATGTTCTCCCCCCTAGCACATGTTCTCCCCCCTAGCACATGTTCTCCCCCCTAGCACATGTTCTCCCCCCTAGCACATGTTCTCCCCCTAGCACATGTTCTCCCTCCTAGCACATGTTCTCCCCCCTAGCACATGTTCTCCCTCCTAGCACATGTTCTCCCCCTAGCACATGTTCTCCCCCCTAGCACATGTTCTCCCCCCTAGCACATGTTCTCCCCCCTAGCACATGTTCTCCCCCCTAGCACATGTTCTCCCCTTAGCACATGTTCTCCCCCCTAGCACATGTTCTCCCCCTTAGCACATGTTCTCCCCCTTAGCACATGTTCTCCCCCAGCACATGTTCTCCCCCAGCACATGTTGTTCTCCCCCAGCACATGTTCTCCCCCCTAGCACATGTTCTCTCCCCCAGCACATGTTCTCTCCCCCAGCACATGTTCTCTCCCCCAGCACATGTTCTCCCCCAGCACATGTTGTTCTCCCCCAGCACATGTTCTCCCCCCTAGCACATGTTCTCTCCCCCAGCACATGTTCTCCCCCAGCACATGTTCTCCCCCAGCACATGTTGTTCTCCCCCAGCACATGTTCTCCCCTAGCACATGTTCTCCCCCAGCACATGTTGTTCTCCCCCAGCACATGTTCTCCCCCAGCACATGTTCTCCCCCAGCACATGTTCTCCCCCAGCACATGTTCTCCCCCAGCACATGTTCTCCCCCAGCACATGTTCTCCCCCAGCACATGTTCTCCCCCAGCACATGTTCTCCCCCAGCACATGTTGTTCTCCCCCTTAGCACATGTTCTCCCCCAGCACATGTTGTTCTCCCCCAGCACATGTTCTCTCCCCCAGCACATGTTCTCCCCCAGCACATGTTCTCCCCCAGCACATGTTGTTCTCCCCCAGCACATGTTCTCCCCCAGCACATGATGTTCTCCCCCAGCACATGATGTTCTCCCCCAGCACATGTTCTCCCCCAGCACATGATGTTCTCCCCCAGCACATGTTCTCCCCCAGCACATGTTGTTCTCCCCAGCACATGTTCTCCCCCAGCACATGTTGTTCTCCCCCAGCACATGTTCTCCCCCAGCACATGTTGTTCTCCCCCAGCACATGTTGTTCTCCCCCAGCACATGTTCTCCCCCAGCACATGTTCTCCCCCAGCACATGTTCTCCCCCAGCACATGTTGTTCTCCCCCAGCACATGTTCTCCCCCAGCACATGTTGTTCTCCCCCAGCACATGTTCTCCCCCAGCACATGTTCTCCCCCAGCACATGTTCTCCCCCAGCACATGTTGTTCTCCCCCAGCACATGTTCTCCCCCCTAGCACATGTGGTCGAATGCCATCTTCCATCACAACATTGTGCTGTGCATGTCAACATATCTGAATTCAGTAATATTTGAGCAAATACTAAAACTCTATGAACTCAGAACAGAACATTTCATCTAATTTAATGGAGGGCATAGGGGACGAACCGCCTTCAAAGTGGGCATGGGGGCTTGACCCCAGAAATCCCCTCCTTCATCTCTATATTACAATCCCCACCCACCCATCAGTCACCCTGCAAATATTTATGAGGCTAGCCCTTAGCATCTGACATGATTCGAACCTCATCATCATCGAGGGTTGACTAGGACAGGTGCGTGGGGGGAACTCCCTCCGCATGGGGTCGAACCCCCCCGTCATTACGGCTCCTGGGGGGACTTTCTCGCAAGATGCCATGTTATTATTACCCACAATACTGTTGATTGCAGGTGTGGGCGCCGGCCGGCCTTCTTCATCTACCTGGTGATCGAGTGTGTGTTTGGGATCGCCACAGCCTTCACGCCCTCCTTCACCTGGTGGCTGGTGTGTCGTGTGGGCGTGGGCTTCACTGTGCCCGCCATCATGTCCACGCCCATGGTCCTTGGTGAGCTGCTGCTGTCCGTGTTGCGTGGGCGGCCTGCCTCTTGCTGTGTCTGCTCCGGTGTACACCTGTCTTGGTCCTTTTACTGCCTGTCCCCTTACTCCTGTATACACTCGACTGGTCCTTTTACTGCCTGTCCCCTTACTCCTGTATACACACGACTGGTCCTTTTACTGCCTGTCCCCTTACTCCTGTATACACTCGACTGGTCCTGTTACTCTATTCATCCTTCTTTTCTAATCCCTCAATATTGCATCTCTTGCCCATTTAAACAGTTCGTCGTTTGGCTCAGATGTGACTAGCGATAAAATGGTTTACATATCATTTTGAAACATACTCTGGTTATGTACACGTATTGTTTTTTTTTTTTAACTATTTTGTATTTTTTTTATTGAGTTTTTTATCTATTTTGTATTTTGTAATATGTATAATATATTCTTTCTTAATGTACACAAACAGCAGCATGAATATAAGACACTTAAGGAAACAGTACCTTACATTACTCTTTATGAACACACTCGTGGCCTTTGTTTATGTGGCAATTCAAATGATACTTTTGATGGCTTTTTTCTTGTTAGATGACACATCCAATTCAGGGTTCCACACACCTGACTCATGGGTACAGATCACATGGTTTCACAAGTGACTCATAGCTATAAACCATATAGTTCCATATGTGCCTCGTGGGTCATATGTACCCCGGGCCCAAACGCTTGTGGCAAGGGGATTGGCTCCAGGAATAACTTATAAGGACTCGGCCAGTCACATTTCACCAATTTTGTTTCCGGGCACTGCAGTAGGGAACCGCGGAACAATAGGAACAATGGGGCCGACCCCGAGCCGCCTATACTGGCCACCGACCCTTCACCAATCATCATGCAAGTTAGGTGAGCCTAACACCCCCCCCCCCCCCCCAAGCGTCTAGCCTCCAACCTTGCACACACGAACATACACACATTCTCACTTCTGCATATCGACAGACCGCCATTATACATTTGTACCAGATTGATGCTTTTTGTACCAACATGATGTTACTTGTACCATGACCATGACGTTATAACTGTGTGCACGTCGCCCCCGCAGCTATCGAGCTGGTGGGGCCGTCGCAGAGGACGTACACGACGGTGGTGATGAACGTGGCGTACTCCTGCACCCTCATCATGCTGGCGGGCGTGGCCTACCTGGTCAGGGACTGGTCGCAGCTCGCCCTCGCCACCACTATACCTTTCCTCGCCTTCTTCTGCTTCTGGTGGTTCGTATTACGGCCTCCTCCTGCTGCTGGTGCATGTTATGGTCTTCTGGAGCTGTGTATAATGGCCGCCTTCTGGTGGTGCATATAATAGGCACTATTATATGTCTGGTGGACATATAATAGGTCTTCTACTGGCACGTTTGTCAGTTTGTGGCCACCAACACCGTGCTGGTAAACCAGATTAAATAAGACTCAGATTATCATTTAGGAACAGTAGAGCCAGTCTTTAACTTCGAAGATGCCTTAAAAAGCAGGGATCATTATTATTGGTGTAATTGTTTCATAATGATATTCTGGAGACTTGTAAATACATATCGAGTATTACTTGCAATAGTTGTGTGTTGCAGCTGAGGTGTTTGTGTTGAGCGGTTAGCCTTATGATTATACCACTGTGTGTTGAGTGTGGGCAGTTGTGTTGATGAGGCGTCGTTAAAGTATGAGCTATGTTGCTAAGGCAACATAACAGGGTGTCCCAGAGTCCCATGTCCCTGCTCCTATGGGGTGTCCCAGAGTCCCATGTCCCTGTTCACACACGGTGTCTCACAGTCCCATGTCTGAGCGTATCTCTGCTCCCACAGGGTATTGCCTGAATCACCAAGATGGCTGCTGGCCAACGGCCGACTCTCCGAGGCTGAGAAGATTATGAAGAAAATGGCCAGGGTAAACGGCAAGGTTCTCTCGCCCGACTACATGGCCAACCTTAGGGTAAGTCAGCTGGGCTGGTCGGCCTTTAGGCAAGTCAACTGGGCTAGTAAGCATTAAGGTAAGTCAGCTGGACATGGTCTCCAGTGTTACAATACGGGATCAACATGACTGGAAACCCACAAAAGTCTTGGAATATCAAATGTCCTCACTATGTATATAATTACTTATATATTTTCCATATTATTTCAGGTTTCTCACTTATAAAACCTATCAAGGACACATTTACACCAAATTGAAATCAGTTTTGACCTTTGACCCCCATAGAGAAAGTACGAGGTGGAGAAGTATTTGAGTGGGCAGGAACAGGGATCGATGACCCAACGAACCTATGGTGTCCTTGACCTCTTCAAGACGCCCAACCTCTGTCGCAAGACTCTTATTGTGACCTTTATTTGGTAGGTCACGTCTGTCATTAAATGTTATGTTATGCATGTCACATTTCTTTGTTACAATCCTTGATTGTGGCCCGTTGGTGTCATTGATCTGTCACCACTAATCTTGCCCAGCCACAATTTTAGGATAACCTGATGAATCTAACTATATTAACTAAACTATGGAATGACTAAAAACACATGGGAAATGAGTCATGGGTGTGCTGTACTAGCGGCAGGTCATTGGTGTGGTGGTTGGCTGGGGCCTTACGCCTGGCGTGCTCTGCTAAATTGGGGGGGAGGGAGCCTTGACCCCAAGTGTTCAGGTCTGTCAGTTGGCCTAGAGTATTTCGACAATGTGGATAACCCTACTGTGGAACGGACGCTGTTTGATGTGCCAGATGTCGACATGGGAGCCGTGTTTGGAGTTGACAGTGCTTAGTCAACTTTTGACGAAGCATCGGGTAGTGGTGACGTTGTCCAATGGTGAGGACTACTGGGTGTAACTGCAATGCTATGAAGGGTGTAGTTTCTATTTGCCGGGTGCTGCTGGGTCGGTTATCTCCGACCGCAGTGGCGCTTTCACATATGTGAGTGTACATAACGCCCCTATTGAATTCCCGGAGGAATTGTTGAAGCGGTATTTTGGCCAGTTCGGAAAGGTAATGACTGTATGGAGGAATACTCTCGCTTCCAGGTCGCTTGACGGGCGTCCTCAACGGCATTCGGACACTGGAAATGAAGCTTTGGTCTGACATCCCTTCCTCTGTCAGGTTGATGGGATACACCGTCCGTGCTTATTATGCATGGCAGCTGCGGATGTGTTTCCGTTGTGGGATGTCGGGCCACCTGGCTGCTGGTTGCTCTGCGGCGTCGTCACTCTGGTAAATTTCTTCTGTGAGGAGGACTTCCCTCCGCTGGTTGATGCAGAGGCTCTGGTGGGTATGGATGTGCCCTTGGATGACGAGCCTGTACGTGGTGCGGCTACAGCTGGTGAGGGTCGGACGCCGGGTGTTTGTGCCACCGTCGTCTGCGGCTGCCGTGGGTACTGTAGGCGTGGGTGTGGTTCCCCCGCCTCCCACTTCTGCGGCTGCTGTGACCTGTTCTTCCGTGGCTCGCCCGCCTCTTCTGCCTGATGTGCCTGTAGTGTGTGGGGGGTCACGGCATCCTGTTATGTTAGGGCCGGTCCCCCCTGTCGTGGCCACTGCTGTGGTTTTGCGTGCCAGTGCCAGAACGCAGCCTCCCTTCATCACTTGCAACTCGGATTCTGTGGTGGTGGAGAGCTCAGATGACCTGTTTCCTGACCCTAAGGTACTCTTCAATTGTGTTGGCATCGGTAGTTTCCGCCTGGGCGAACATGAGGGATTTTGCGAGCTGCATGTCTTCCGGCGTCGAGGGGTCAGTACTTGGTGATTTTCCGGTGGACAGGGAGGTGGTGGTGGCAGATGTTCATGCGACAGATGTGGATGCTGGTGTAGGGGCTTTGTGTTGGTTACCGTGTCCTTCCCCCCCCCCTCCTCCCCAGGGCCTCCTGCTGTAGCCTCCCCGAAGTGGGAGGTGGTGCCCCCTCCTGTGGTTGCTGATGCGGCCCGTGATCTCGTAGTAGGACTTAATAAGAAGGATGGTTATCAGGGGTGGGCGGGGGGCTCTGTGCCTGTGCCCAGTGCCCTGCAGTTCGTTGTAAGTGTAGACCCTGTAGTGTTGCCCCACGTGTTGCAGCCCGCTTCCAGGGGGAAGGGGGGGTTGCTTCGTCGGGGGGAGGGGGGTGTCGTGTCGGTTGCTGCTGAGGAGTCTGGACCCAGTATGGGAGTCAGGGTGCGCCCGGTCCCCTGGTGCTCGTCCACAGTGTGGGTGCCCGGTGTACAGGCTTTCGTCTCTGATGTTCCTAAGTTTATGTTGCGCCCTCGGGGGAAGTCTGGAAGTCGTCTTAAGGAAGATGAGCGTAACGTATGGGAGGCATACTGTTTGCGATTTCCGGTAAAGGATTATCTGCATAAATGTATTCACCTAGTTGTATTCACCTAGTTGCGTTTGCGGGGGTTGAGCTTTGCTCTTTCGGCCCGCCTCTTAACTGTCAATCAACTGTTTACTAACTCCTTTTTTTGTTTTTTTGTAGGCATTGCCTTCCAACTTTTGTCACTTGCCTTTGACATATTAATGTGTCTAGTTTGATGTTTTGTTGTGGGCCCTTCAGGCCTTGTTTACTTGTTGAATTGTTTTGTTTGAACCTTGTGCTGCTTTTGTGTCCGTTTTGGGTTGACTTATGTATTGTCTTTTTTGTATGTATCTGTTACATTGTACTTCTCTAGTTGTGTTTCATGGATTTGTGTGGGATTGGTTTGGGGCTTATTGTTCTGTTTCTTTGTAATTTGTACTGTTTGTTTGGTTTCTTTCTTTGTATTTGTTTTTATTTGTATTTATGTAGCATGCATTCGCATATAAATATACAATTATTTTTTGTTCAGGAATTTACCTGACGAATCTAACTATATTAATTAAAGTATGGGATGACTAAAAACACATGGTAAACAACCAGTATAATTGGGACTATATAAGAAACATGATATAATTAACTTAACAATAATAATGATGCAAGTTAATGAGTCCGGGTTAATTGCAGAACCGCTCTGGAAACACCACAATTACCTCGGTCGCTGACGGTGACGAGGAAGTATAACCTTCTCGTTTACCCTAAACAATAAGTCATGTTTCGCCCGGGGGCTCCCCCCACTCTCCAGTACCATGACGTGCGCTGCACCAAGTTATCACCCCCAGATATATTAACATGCCATGCCAAAAAAAATAATAATGAACACTACTACTAAATGTTATAAATGAGCCCTTACTCATCCTCTCGCATGAGTAATCGACACTGCTTCACCCTAATAATACTTCTGAGTAAGAAGTGAAAAGGAACTAAAGTGAGACATTATTTCTGGCAAGTATAACGTCTAACGAAGTAAAACACTGCTACTAAACATTTAGACAAGAGCAGGGAGAACACGGACAACATTTGAGGTGGACACGGACCGTGCCCGTCTTCCCTCTGCTCGCCCGACGTACAAGAACTCCCCCTTTACAGCTTAATATACTCAATTACACTAATTACCCATACTGGAGTTATGTGCAACACGCCAAGACCCACTAGAGATAACCCTCCTACTGGAATATTGGATTATAAGACTTGGCAATGTTATAATTTATAGTATAGGCAAACAATAACATTATTATCAGTGCCACAAGACGTTATATAATAAACCAGATGAAAGATCAAAATTAATGACTAGACGTTGTCTGGCTGTGCACTAAACCTTTTGATAGTTATTTACAAGTATTATCTTTTGTTCATAGTACTGTTATGTCATGTCTGTTAAATCATGTCCATCATGTTATATCACATCGCCCATGTTATGTTACATCCGCTATGTTTTGCACATATGGCTTCATTTATTATTTCTAGCCACATCCAGCACAATCGACAAGTTTCCCCCGTCATCACCACTACCATCAGGGGTCATGTTAAATAATCGGTCCTTGGGATCAGTCGTGTAAAAATCCTTACATTAATATCCTCATTATTCTGACAACATATTCACATTGTAACACACTTATCTAACCAGCTCCCCCAACTAGCCGTGTGTGTATGTGCTCCCCTGCTAGGTTCACCAACACGTCGGTGTACGTCGGACTGTCGTACTACGCCCCAGCTCTTGGAGGGAACGCCTACCTCAACTTCTTCCTGGCTGGCTGTGCAGAGCTGCCCACGTACCTCTTCTTGTGGCCGTCCATGGAGTACTGGGGCCGCCGCTGGACCCTCTGCTTCTCCATGGTGGTCGGAGGCAGCGCCTGTGTGGCCACAGTTGTCACACAGAATGGTTAGTGGTGGAGAGCGAGGTGTACATAGCCAGAGTATTGACAAATATCTCTAAAGTACAGATATACTTTGTTTAAATAACTATGGAGACAAATTTTCGCGTTAATACAGATTTCTTCAATTTCGGAATAAGAATATGAACTATTGGAAGATGTAACTGATAATTTTTTATTAATAATATTGGTCAAGATGTTTGTTTCAACCCCCTAAAAGAATCTTCGAGTTGGGGAAGAAGTGTTAAAGATGTATGTTCCCGCCAGACCCAACAGTGACGCTGGCCCTGTACTGCGTGGGCAAGTTCGGCATCTCCTCGTCCTTCGTGGTGCTGCCGCTGATGGCCTCGGAGCTGTACCCAACGGTGGTGCGGGGCATGGGCCTCTCTGTGTCGGCGGTGGCGGGCATGATCGGCCCTATCGTCATCCCTCTCATTAACTACCTGGTAAACGAGGCTCACAAGCTCCCGGATGTTACGTGGCTTCCTTGTGTCCTGAGTTTCATTTGATTCAAGTTATGGGTGGTTCGTTTGACGACGGGCTTCGAAGCCACCTCCATCAGATCTACTGCTGACTAATATCATAAAATACTTCATTATACAGATATAATTAATCATTATACTCGGCTGTTCTCATCTCTAATTATGTAATACATATTTTATTACTGGAAATGTTTACACACTTCCATCTAAACAAAACCCGTTATTGCATGTTTCAACAAGAATGATAAATTACATGACTGAAAACTTTGAAGTGGACGACAGGCCCCTAAATCTCTCTTAAGTATGTCAGGGTGTTACCCCAGACTTACTTAAAACAATGGAGATCGCGCCACTTTAGAGGTAGCAAAAAATGTAAACAAAATTATAGACCAATATCACTAACAACACACACCATAAAAATCTTTGAAAAAAAAGTGCTAAGAAGTAAGATAAAAAAAATATATACATTGAATCAGTGTCTACATAATCCTGGAGGGTTATGTAGATACTGTGATTCTATGTGATCATGAAGCTGATTCAATAAAATAACACATTCTAACCACGTAAGTATCTTGTGTTACTTGGGATTAGTATTTAATGTTCTGGAGCACGCCTCGAGTGTGATATTGTTGGGGCTGGGTACACATTGACGCACAAACACAGCCCATCATGATAACAATGACGTAGCAGCCAAATCTAGCTTACTACAAGGATGTTGTTGAACTAGACTTAGGTAGCCTCCATCTCTTATCATTAAGACAATATTGCTCCAAACATTTAGGTTTGGTATGAGAGAAATCAGACTCAAAAATGCCTGAAAAGCATCAGCGTAGAAAGTTATGATTTGTTTACATCTTTTAAACCTATGTATATGGGCCGCAGAAAGCTTGTACCAGACAGTGTGACTTTGTGGTTGCCAGGATCAGGCGGGGCTACCGTTACCCGTGACATGTTACCACACAAGGGACGGAAACTCGCAATCCTGACCATTCCTTGTGTAAACTGTTAGCAACTCGGTCACAGAGTTCCTGTACACACTACACGGTTGAGTGTTCAGTCATTAGACCCTTCAAACTTGCCAGGTATGAAGTTACCTGGAGCTTTGCATTAACTTTATTCACTCTCGAGTTATTGAGGATATCCTCATAATGCATCCCAAGTTAGCAAGTGCAGGCTGGCTGCTGATCACCAGGCCCTGCATGACTGACTATGCTGCGAGAGGGGGATTTCATAGTATTTTATAGCTATAGCTTTGCCACACGGTGTAACGCTTACATATGGTCTAGTAGGGTAGCTGCATAAATACATATGTACTTAATTATGATCGGAAAAGACGTACAAAATAAACAAAGCATTGCTGGATATTAAAAAAAAAGAATTTGTATACTGAGTAAGCTACCAATTTAACTTAGAGGCCTATACAAATCACTTTGTCTCGACTCTGATTTTAAATAATGACATTGATGACCCGTGTGATTGACAGGGATCGGAGATGATGGTGCTGCCTCTGATCATCATGGGCGTCCTCTTGAACTTGGGTGGCGTGTTCTCCCTGTTGCTGCCGGAGACGCTCCACCAGCACCTGCCGCAGACGCTGGAGGAGGGGGAGGAGTTCGGCAAACACTGGACTCTATCAGACTACTGCACCTGCTGCCCCAAGACGTATGTATTATTGGTTTGAGTAGTATTGCACGCTGGTGAGTAGTATTCCTGGACATACTAAAGCTACTACGTGTTTTTTCCCCTGTTGACAGTTTTGTCAGCATCCCCTTGAGTAGCGCGGGAGCACCATATATCCAAAATTCGAAATACTGTCTAGACGAGGCTTGCAAAATCCACGGAGTAAATATATATCTATCAATCTTTATCTACGACTAGTAATTATAACCTTACCAGTGTGTTCAGTCATGTCAGGTGCGAAGCGTTCATGTGACAGTTTGCATTAAGCAATACAAAAATGTATAGCCAAGGCAAAATAAAGTTGCTTAGAGAAGCCTAACATTATTATTATTTTTTATGATTTTGATATATGCCAGCCTTCCATCGTGATAGTTACAGAGAGGTATACACAAGTGGTTCATTATTCCTGGCTACGGATGAACGGGAGTACAATGAAGACCTCCCATTGGCCTGGTACACAGGTGTGTGTGCGCGCACACTATGGTATGAGCCATCAGGCAGGGATGTGGTGGAGGCTGACTCCATACACAGTTTCAAGTGTAGATATGATAGAGCCCAGTAGGCTCAGGAACCTGTTCACTGGTTGATTGACAGGTGAGACGCGGGACCAGGGAGCCGAAGCTCGACCCCCGCAAGCACAACTAGATGAGTACACTATGGGCAGCGATGTATATAGGGTTTTGTTGATAATAGTTACAACTGTGATTTCTGATTTGTTTACAGATCACGTAGAAAAAATAGCTAGATATTCTCTACAGATCACTTAAAAATAGCTACATTTGATGAGTTTATTTTAAGAGGGAGTAATGGGTGATTTAACATTATATATTTTAAATAACTATTACGAGGTTGGATACGTCATAACGGGTCTGATAGGCCTAATATGCAGCCTTTCCTTCTAAGGTTTCCCCAACGTCAAGAATCTGTCGTACTAAAGTGCCCTTATCCTAATCTACCAGAGGACCCAAAACAGAAAACGGGACAGTATGCCAATTTTGCGAGAGGCTACCATTTTCTAGTACGACAATTTTTGGCCTTAATAATGATGATAATGATCTAGTTGGATAATGTCTCAGCAATGATAATAGGCTACAGTTGAATGACCAATTCTTGTCAATGTTAATTTGTTTTAAAAATTTTGCCGTTAGTTTCTTAGTACTAAATATTGCTTTAAGTCACTTTTTTCTTAACATTTTATTTATGTATAAGCCCTGCTAATGTTGCAACCTTGCAGAGCAAGTAGCATGAACGGCGTGGCTCCGATGATGCCGGTCAACAATAGCAGCCACGGAGAGGTGGAGCCAGGAGCACCCGCCGCTGGAACAACCTATCCAGGGAGTAGCCGGCTCTCCCCTCCACCCCAGGAACACCCTGCTGCAGGAGGTGTAGGAAGAGGCGGTGCGGTGTGTGGGGGAAGGTCACCATCAAGAGCATTACTAGAGGACCTGGAGGAGTCTGATGGTGGTGGTGAGAGTGGAGTGCTCCGGAGCCCCTCACCTGCTTATCCCAGGGAAGATGACGGTGAGCCTGAGGAGGAGCAGAAACTGATGTCCTCCAGCAGGAAGGTTACTGTTGTATAAACCCGCGGAAGATTGCACGCAGAGCTTGTTGGTCCAGCCCGTTCTCGTGGGCGTTCCCAACGTCAAGAAACTGTCGAACTGAAGTGGCCCTATCCTAACCTATCAAAGGACCCACCAACAGAAATCGGGAGTGTCAATTTTGTAACCATTTTCTTGTACGCCAGTTTTTGTTCCTAGGTAAAGTATACGTCGAGATGCGACGTGCAATTAGGAGGACGGGTTGCAACTGGTTAGAGAATTAGTGGTGATTATCATAATGCTATATAAATGACATCTTGTAAAATGATTTTGTTATATAAATAGGAGCCGCTTCGTACGGGCCAATAGGCCTTGTGCAGTTTCCTAAGTTCTAATGTTCTTATATTAGTGTTCTCATTTATTGATAAAACCAGCATATATTTGATGGTTTTAGGAAATATTTGGACATTTAATTTAATGTATAATTGCCATAATTCCCAGTCGAAGTGTCGGGGAATGCTGGCCGGGAGTGGCACCTAAATATAGACACATAATTAAATATCGGCATTAAAAGTTCTGTTAGTGGAAAATTTCCAGAATATATAAAGTAATGTATATCAGTTGTATCAATAATATAATGTCCAGACAGTAAGTCACAACAGTGGTTCCAAGTGAGTCGCCCAACTCTCACATCTGATTGTATAGAAATTGACGTTTTGGTGAGTGTGTGTCCTGGACTATCATATCATCACACAATAATAGTCCAGCCAGATTCACGAAACAGTTACGCAAGTACTTACGAACGTGTACATCTTTCCTCGATCTTTGACGGCTTTGGTTACATTTATTAAACAGTTTACAAGCATGAAAACTTCCCAATAAATTGTTGTTAATGTTATAAACAGCCTCCTGGTGCTTCGAAACTCATTAATTGTTTAATAATTGTAAACAAAGCCGTTAAACTTTGAGAAAAGATGTTTTGTAAGTGCTTGCGTAACTGCTTCGTAAATCTGGCCTACCGAAACGTTGTCACCTCCTTCATGTCCAACTGTGGGGGTTCGATGTCTTAAAATACTTACTACATGTACATTATTTAATGATATTTATTTAGATATTTCTATGGATAACACGAATTTGACAAATTATCTTATATTAAAGTTAAATATTTAATTAGTTATTTCTACAGAATATTTACTGTTGTCGTGAATTTGTTCATTCTTTTGTCTGTGATAACGTTCAATCTTATCAAATGACAAATTATAACACCACAAAGGCCACGTTGTTCATCTAAGTACCTTCTTGATGCATGAGACAGAGTCCAATTCCCCTCTGACATGTGACAGTGTCCATGTGTCCGACTCCCCCCTGATAGATAAAAAAAAAGGGATCTCACAGATATTGCTATACAATTCTTGTAAAAACCTTATCACTTTATTTGCTAAGTAATCTGCTTTTTTAATTATACATACAGCGAGCTAAAAATGTCGAAGTAATAATTTGTAAACATTTACATCGTTATTTAGAAATCATTTATTTTTTACTAGAACAAGTCAATTAAATGGTTTTAGGTGGTTTATTTTGTAATACATGAGTGTTATTACATAAGGCCATTACAGCAGTATGAGAAACATGGTTATGTGACATAATTTGTACTAGGAATGTATTTTTTTCTATTCTCCATTACGAAACAGCTTGTCATAGTTTGTTTGTGTGCCCATGTCATAGTTTGTTTGTGTGTGCCCATGTCATAGTTTGTATGTGTGTGCCCATGTCATAGTTTGTATGTGTGTGTGTGCCCATGTCATAGTTTGTGTGTGTGTGCCCATGTCATAGTTTGTGTGTGTGTGCCCATGTCATAGTTTGTGTGTGTGTGCCCATGTCATAGTTTGTGTGCCCATGTCATAGTTTGTGTGTGTGTGCCCATGTCATAGTTTGTGTGTGTGTGTGCCCATGTCATAGTTTGTGTGTGTGTGCCCATGTCATAGTTTGTTTGTGTGTGCCCATGTCATAGTTTGTGTGTGTGTACCCATGTCATAGTTTGTGTGTGTGTGCCCATGTCATAGTTTGTGTGTGTGTGCCCATGTCATAGTTTGTTTGTGTGTGTGTGTGTGTGCCCATGTCATAGTTTGTTTGTGTGTGTGTGTGTGTGCCCATGTCATAGTTTGTTTGTGTGTGTGTGTGTGTGCCCATGTCATAGTTTGTTTGTGTGTGTGTGTGTGTGCCCATGTCATAGTTTGTGTGTGTGTGTGTGTGCCCATGTCATAGTTTGTGTGTGTGTGCCCATGTCATAGTGTGTGTGCCAAGGTAAAGCTTTCATTTGTATGCGATAATCAAAATATTTGCCTAATTTGTTATTCTTTATTTTGACATTTATTAATGTGTTGCATATTTATATTATAATAACTTTTGTTTGTATCAGTTTGTGCATGATTGTGCCACCCATTTTGTTGCTAGTTTGGCCAATTGTTTTCGAATTTTGTATACAATCAACCACATTAAGTAAACATTTATTCATGTTTTGCTATAAGCCTGTTAATTTGTCTTCCCGTGTAACTGTTTGAAAATGAGCCATTGGCATGATTTAACTGGGACGTTATATCCGTTCTCTCGTTGATAATGAGTTCTATAGAATGAAGTACATGTGTATTCTGTCCTGATTAAGAATGGTATATAAATTGTAAATTTTTTTTAATTTAAATTTTTTATTTTATGTATATTCTATACAAATCCCAATGAAGTGGAGTAGGTTCCTTCAACTATAAGGTTTCACTGTAAGTGTAAAACTGTCTACCTCTGAAGACTTTCACTTAGTGAGCTCCCTCAGGTTGATGTTGTCTCTACCACAGACGTGGCCACACATTTACAATGCTAACCGTCATATATACATTTTCTTCTGTCCTCCATCAACAGAGTTAGAGATGTGTTAAACATATAGTTCAGTGATTTATTGAACAATCAACCACAGACGGTGATTGTAATGCTTTTAAAATGCTAATCTAACCTACATACATGAATACAGATTTAACTACACTATATAAAGTGTTCGATGGGTCTTTTTACAGTGTCATTAATGTGCATTTACAAAGGTGGTTATCTTGAGATGATTTCGGGGCTTTTTAGTGTCCCCGCGGCCCGGTCCTCGACCAGGCCTCCACCCCTAGGAAGCAGCCCGTGACAGCTGACTGACTAAATAGGTCTTCATGATAATGACACGAAGTGTAAACTATGTGCTATGTTAAGGTCTCACACCCTTGCCCATTATGTTCTTGATTGTCCGTTGATTAATGTATGTAGAAACACTGAGATAAGGACTGTTCCTGAACAAATAGCCTGGATGTGTCACAACGGAGAGGTTGATGATATTCTTGAGAGATATAAGAATTTTGCACCAAGACTGTAATCTTTTGTTGAATTATCTGCATGTCTCTTGCAAATTGTCTATACAGTATACCTAGGTCATAAAAGTATTTGTGTGTACGTCTGATACCATACTACTTGTGTAAAGGAAGAAATCTATATGTTTATCTCTCAGAATGTTCGGTAATATGTTTATTGTTTGTGATGTGTGTCTATGTATATATTAACACGATGTACTGAACGGGGTGAGGATAGCTTGAGCTATCTCATCCCTTTGTGTGTATTTTACCTCAATAAACTTATTTCAATTTCAATTCAATTTCAATTTCTCCTGATCTTCCCTAATAGCCTGTGTCCTTTGCCTTAGCTTTTCTGTTTTTTTTTCAAGTTATCTCTGTTGTTTGCTTTGTCCATTCTTCAGTGGAAGGGAAGGGAACTATCAGGGGAAAGCGTCAAGCCATTACGACTATATAGTACTTGGAAGGGATAAGGATAAGGATTTGGGATCGGACGGGAGGGGGTGGAAAGGAATGGTGCCCAACCACTTGGACGGTCGGGAATTGAACGCCGACCCACATGAAGTGAGACCGTCGCTCTACCGTCCACGTTAAGTGGTCTTCAGTGGATGTATGTGGCTTGTATGTCATTTTTTATGAACTTTAATTTCTGATCTCCACAGTTTTCACTGCTTTATGTATGTCTCGAGGTTTGGTGGTCGTCCTGGTCACTAACACGGTTATTCCTCTCTCTCCTTCCCTCAGCTCGGGGCAGTAATGATAATTTGACTGTTGTTGTAATTTTAAAGTGTTCGTGTACGTTCAGCTCGTGTGTATTAGCTGTAGACCTAATACTAGGTATTAGTAGGTGTAGTAGGCTAGCTGTAGGCCTCTGTAGTACACAGGCCTACAGTCAGTGAGGAGCCACAACTGTAAGTAAATATATCTGTATTGTGTGTTGTTATTTCAGTTACCTAATTTAAAAATAAGTTAAATGGTCAAACATTTGTTATTCTTGAAGTATATTTTATTGACAAAATGCAGGATATGTGCTTGCATAAGTTATATCTGTACCGAGTATGATGTCGTATACTCGCGCTTGTAACTGTTTAACTGACACAAAATCTTATTAGCACAAAAATAAATTATGAATTTATTTTTGGACAATATAAGAACTTGGAGGTTCAGAATCTTTTTCGCTGCTAATTACACCTATTGTGTAGACATGACTAAGTAAGAACCTCGGTATAGTCACGGAAAGACGAGCATATCCGCCTCCATGGTATCTTTACCACAACACCATATACTACCACCAGCCAACGCCAGACCCTAGTAATCCACCTTAAACAAAATTGCCTTGTTCATCAAATAAGCAATTTTCTTACAAAAAAAGGAATTCTGTATTTGTCTCAACCTGATAGTAATATTCACTGCAGAATGGTATGGTGTTTACAAATGCCTGTAAAAATAACAACACTTCCAGTTGGGAAAAGTACAAATCTGCATCGACTTTAAAAGCGGTGCTCCGTCTGGCCTGTGTGGCGCCCTGTGGAGTATGGCGCTTCTACCTCACCTGCGACCGACTCATCTCACTCATTCGTGCACCAGCCTCCTCCTAGCCCTGCTTTGCACTATACTGGGTTGCGTCTCAGCTTGTATGCTGACACTGGCTTCCTGTCTCTCCAGGACCGCCGTGATCGCTACTGTCTTCGTTACCTTGCGCGGTCCTTGCTACATTCACACTCTCGCCTGTGTCGTGCTTTGACTTTTGCCCCTCCTGTGGTTACTGTTCTCCTTCACCACCTCCCTCTTTCTGTTCGGTTGTCTCGCCTGAAAAATTCTCTTTCGGTTCATATTACCAATGTTTCTCCTCGTGTTGTTCCATCCTTGCCCCTGTGGAGGGTCCCCCCTTCCTAAATTTTGTAAATCCCTGACACACGTCACTAAAGCATTTACTCCTACAGTTCTGAAACGCCTTTTCCTTGAGCACTTTTCTACTTACTCCCGCTCCGTTTCCATCTTCACCGATGGTCTAAGTCTGTGGACGGTGTGGGCTACTCTGTTGTTTTTCCTGGCCACACCTATATGTGTCGCCTGCCTCCAGAGACTAGCATCTTCACGGCAGAACTTTATGCTATTCTCTATGCTCTCCGTCTACTGCTTACTCGCTGTCATTCCTTTGTGGTTGAAGTTGAGCCATGAGGGCACCCTCGTAGTGCCCTCATGGCTCTGGAGACCTTTAATCCAGTCCATCCGGTGGTAGTCGAGATTCAACATTGGCTGTTTCTTATCTCCAGTAGATTTAAGACAGTTGAGTTTTACCATATTGGTGTCTCTTTAATTTAAATGAGCGTGCGGATGCTGCTGCTAAGGAAGCTAGCCGCACTTTTGTCCATCTCCCGTAAAGGTGTTCTTTATTCCAACTTTTACCCAGTTATTCATTCCTCTATCTTTGCCCGTTGGCAGGGTTGTTGGTCTTCTGTTACTGGTAACATACTGAGTACTCTTGAGAGTAGTGTGTCCCCGTGGCCGTCCTCCGACTACCGTAACCGGCGGTCGGAAACGGCTGTGGCAAGGTTGCGTATTGGCCATACTCGCTTAACTCACAGACACTTAATGGAGCGCCGCCCTGCTCCTTATTGTCCAAATTACGTTGTCCCTCTTACAGTCGTGCATATCCTTGTTGAATGTCCTGACTTCCAGGACAAGCGTGTGTCTTGCTTTCCGACCGTCCCTCTATGTCAGTTGTCTCTTGATAGAATTCTTGGTGACTCGGATACTTTTGATATCGTTCGCCTTATGCGTTTCTGTTCTCGTATTGGCATCCTTGGTGATATTTAGCGTCCTCTGATTAATCCGCATATTTGATTCTGCTACATAGTCTTCCCGGCTTGGTGCCTTATTTTGATAATTACTTACTTATTCCTCCTAATCCGGGACCGCTGCTTCGATTCCCGCATCACTCACTCTACGGGTGATGGGACTACACGAGCTAGTGCCTCATCTCCGCCACTTGGGTATCTGGACGCGCTGGACCAGTGTCCAGATCAGGAAGAAACAGCGAGAGTACATTTCCTTCTGCACTGTCTGTGGATCCACGGCGCTCGGACACGTCTCCGTTACGACCTGTATCACATACAAAAATTCCACTTCACGCTTCCCATTCTTAACGGCCAGATTCCAGGAAGAATCACGTTACGACGCTCTGCGTGTGACGCCCTGTTTCCTGCTGGCAATACATAAACGTTTATAACCAGCGTGGCTCGCGGCCTGTTGCTTTGTCTGGACTCCCGAACTACGCCTGGACTGATGGGGGATATATGGCCCAGTGCTGTAGGTGCCCACCAGCACCATCATCTCACACTGCCTCAAAAATTGCGGAGAGCTAGACGACCACTACCCTGCAGCTTCCCTTTGCAACATGTCATACTCATCTGCAACACCTTGCAGAAGATTGTAATATATATACACACAATAGGTGCCAGTACACCGTCGAATATTCAATAATGATATTGTATGTGAATTAGCAAAAGCGATGTATACTACAACACACATCACATACCAACTCCAAACTTTGTACGGAAATTGAAATCATGGCACTCCAAAGCATACTATAGAACTAGAAAAAGACCTGGGAAGCTTGCAAACACACCAGCCATAAAAAATATAAACAAATATAACAATGGCCAGACTAAAACTGAGACACGCCAAAGTAGCAGCTCATTAGCTATAAATACAAAATAAAAGACAAATGAACTTCCACTGCCATGTTCCAGAGACAATCGAACATTCTCTCCACTGCTTCTGATATAACAGTGGCAAAATCAATTTCAAACACTAATTAATCGCCCCCAAAGTGCCCTTTCAACATCATGCATATATTAGAGGAAGGAGAAGTCTTACAATATAACCTAAACGTAGTTTATTCATGAAATTGAAATCACCCGGACACCCATATATAGAAAACGTAAGCCTTGAACCAGGGACCAGCTGACGCTGTCACCACCTCACGTCAACATCGTTCAGTTGTCTGTGTCGTGGTGGCCGGTGCTGTCCTCCCTCAGGGACTTCTGGGGCTCCAAAATATCTACCTAACAATGTGACAACACATTGTGTTGTCACATACTACAACTACAATGTGTTGAAATAATTCACGACGTGGCCGTCGCCTAATCGAACTACAACAACCCCCTCCAGGCCTGCCCTCTAGGCACCACATCTAACTTTACAAAATGATACTGAAGCCTCGCCTAACCATCAACACTGTCGCGTCTCCCAGCGTCACCACTCGTGTCTCAGTCGTCACAGGCTCACCGTGGGAGGACAAAACCCTGCGTGTCTCACCTGTCCTGGAGCCGCGCTTCCCAAGGCAAGTAGTGGGGGGAGGGGGGTCCAACCAGCACCAGTGGGGGAGGGGGGCCACCTGCACCAGGGGGGGGGGGCACCAGCATCAGGGGGGGGGGTCTCACCAGCACCAGGGGGGGCCACCAGCACCAGGGGGGGGCCACCAGCACCAGGGGGGGGGCCACCAGTACCAGGGGGGGGCCACCAGCACCAGGGGGGGGGGGGGGGGTCCCACCAGCACCAGGGGGGGCCACCAGCACCAGGGGGGGCCACCAGCATCAGGGGGGGGTCCCACCAGCACCAGGGGGGGGGTCCCACCAGCACCAGGGGGGGCCACCAGCACCAGGGGGGGGGGTCCCACCGGCACCAGGGGGGGGCCACCAGCACCAGGGGGGGGGGCCACCAGCATCAGGGGGCGGGGTCCCACCAGCACCAGGGGGGGGCATCAGCATCAAGGGGGGGGGGGTCCCACCAGCACCAGGGGGGGGCACCAGCACCAGGGGGGGGCCACAAGCATCAGGGGGGGGTCCCACCAGCACCAGGGGGGGCCACCAGCACCAGGGGGGGGGCCACAAGCATCAGGGGGGGGGGTCCCACCAGCACCAGGGGGGGGCCACCAGCACCAGGGGGGGGCCACAAGCATCAGGGGGGGGTCCCACCAGCACCAGGGGGGGGCACAAGCATCAGGGGGGGGGTCCCACCAGCACCAGGGGGGGGCCACCAGCATCAGGGGGGGGGGTCCCACCAGCACCAGGGGGGGCCACCAGCACCAGGGGAGGGGCCACCAGCATCAGGGGGGGGTGGGGTCCCACCAGCACCAGGGGGGGGGGGCACCAGCACCAGGGGGGGGGGCTACAAGCATCAGGGGGGGTCCCACCAGCACCAGGGGGGGGCCACCAGCACCAGGGGGGGCTACCAGCATCAGGGGGGGGTCCCACCAGCACCAGGGGGGCCACCAGCACCAGGGGGGGCCACCAGCACCAGGGGGGGGCTACCAGCATCAGGGGGGGGTCCCACCAGCACCAGGGGGGGGCCACCAGCACCAGGGGGGGGCCACCAGCACCAGGGGGGGGCTACCAGCATCAGGGGGGGGGGTCCCACCAGCACCAGGGGGGGCCACCAGCATCAGGGGGGGGGTCCCACCAGCACCAGGGGGGGGCCACCAGCACCAGGGGGGGCTACCAGCATCAGGGGGGGGGGGTCCCACCAGCACCAGGGGGGGGGGCCACAAGCATCAGGGGGGGGGGGTCCCACCAGCACCAGGGGGGGGGCCACCAGCACCAGGGGGGGGCCACAAGCATCAGGGGGGGTCCCACCAGCACCAGGGGGGGGCACAAGCATCAGGGGGGGGTCCCACCAGCACCAGGGGGGGGCCACCAGCATCAGGGGGGGGGGTCCCACCAGCACCAGGGGGGGCCACCAGCACCAGGGGGAGGGGCCACCAGCATCAGGGGGGGGTGGGGTCCCACCAGCACCAGGGGGGGGGGCACCAGCACCAGGGGGGGGGGCTACAAGCATCAGGGGGGGGTCCCACCAGCACCAGGGGGGCCACCAGCACCAGGGGGGGGCTACCAGCATCAGGGGGGGGTCCCACCAGCACCAGGGGGGGGCCACCAGCACCAGGGGGGGGCTACCAGCATCAGGGGGGGGTCCCACCAGCACCATGGGGGGGCCACCAGCACCAGGGGGGGGCCACCAGCACCAGGGGGGGCTACCAGCATCAGGGGGGGGGGTCCCACCAGCACCAGGGGGGGGGCCACCAGCATCAGGGGGGGGGGTCCCACCAGCACCAGGGGGGGGCCACCAGCACCAGGGGGGGCTACCAGCATCAGGGGGGGGGGTCCCACCAGCACCAGGGGGGGCCACCAGCATCAGGGGGGGGGGTGGGGTCCCACCAGCACCAGGGGGGGGCCACCAGCACCAGAGGGGGGGCTACCAGCATCAGGGGGGGGTCCCACCAGCACCAGGGGGTGGCCGCCAACACTAATTGTACCATAAAAATGGACAAATATTAAATATAGCCACACTGACCAGAGGGTGGTGCCCATTCAGCCGTTGTGGCCGAGGGGCCCAAATTCGGTCACATCCGGCCCTTGAGATGTTATCTTGAGATGTTCTGGCTCTGCTCACACGATATAATTGCTCTGCTCTGCAGTTATGAAAAAAAATCACAATTGAAGAGCAACTATAGAGAAAGATAATTCGCCAGTTTAAACGTGTATGGTATAATTTTCGTTCTCTCTTCCAGCCATTATGTTCCCTGGGGTTAATTCTGTAGTTGTTTGTGGCGGCCTAGTTGCTGGGATTATTGAGCCCGTCTGGTTAAGGCTAATACGCCTTTGTTTTGAACATTGCTCAACGCAATTGGTTCGCAATTGAACGATCACGGGTTCAATTTCCAAAACCAGGGCGTGTACATGGGCGTGAAAGGAATAAGTTTCATTTCACCTGATACCTCTGTTTACCTAACAGTAAATAGGGACTCTGGAGTTGGTTGACTGTTGTGGGTTGCATCTTGTAGAGGGTCACATGTCCTAGGGGAACCTTGAAGAGTCGAGCAGGCTCCCTGTCCTCGGCACTATACACAAGACAATTTGAGTTCTTTTCGTTTGGAGTTAAACATCTGGGCATTGTATTAAACCAGTTTACATATCATATGTACAAACTGAGACAGGAAAGGAGAGATACTTAACACACCTTAATATTTATTGGTATTCTCACTGGCAAAATGTATTACACAGAACCGTGAAGGTGTAAATTTTGCTTCATTCCACCATTCATTATTTTAAATTTCTTTAGTGTATATCGAGATAACATTCTCCAAAACATTTCGTTTTCTCTATACATCTCTTGTTAAATATACATCAATGAAAATGATGAGTGTTGAAGGGAGACTATATCATTCTGCCACACACGTCCTCTTGTGGATTGTCCAGGGGGTGACGGTGAGAGTGGGGTAAAGGGGAGATTAAAAGTGGGAATATCATGCATTCTGGCGCAGAGAAAGTAAGGTGTATAGGAAGCTGAAAGAAGGAAGGCGATTTAATGAGTATGTGAAGGGGAAGAGAGAGAGAGTGAGTGAGTGGCGGGGAGGCATTGAGCATCCAACACGATGTGATTGTGAGGAAGATGAGAGGACATGAGGCAGCATCCATAACCGTGAGACTGAAGAGGATGAGGCAAGTGGGTTGCGTGAAGCAGGGTTGGCAGCCACGACTGCCACCCCGGGTGAGCCTTAGCGCCTGCCCGTCTCCATCATGCGCATCAACAGGTTGAGGGTGTTGTCCATGTTCTGGGCGCACGAGGCCGACCCGGCGCAGGACCTGCTGACGTAGAGGTTGCGTTATGTCACGCCAAGCGTCACACCAAGCGTCACGCCAAGCGTCACGCCAAGCGTCACGCCAAGCGTCACGCCAAGCGTCACACCAAGCGTCACACCAAGCGTCACACCAAGCGTCACGCCAAGCGTCACACCAAGCGTCACGCCAAGCGTCACACCAAGCGTCACACCAAGCGTCACGCCAAGCGTCACACCAAGCGTCACGCCATGCGTCACACCAAGCGTCACACCAAGCGTCACGCCATGCGTCACACCAAGCGTCACGCCATGCGTCACACCAAGCGTCACGCCATGCGTCACACGAGAAATAAGCATTATGGGACGCTATACTTGGGTGAGAAGTTTCATAAAAATGAACATATTTGTTAGAATAGTAAGATTATTCGCATTTTAAAGCGCATGTAGACTTAATATATATGTACTGCTGTCACTGTGTACTCACCCTTTATCCTACAGTAAACACACACACACACACACACACTAAACCCACTCCCCCACACTAACCCACCTTCCCATGCTACCCTCCCCCCTCACTAACCCTCCCACCCCCCACACACTAACCCTCCCCCACACACTAACACACCATCCTCACCTCACCCACCTGAGCGGTCTGTTCCACTCTTCATGTGGGGCGCTGACTGCTCGGGCCGAGGCAGGGAAGGAATCCTGGAGGAGGGTGACGTCCTCTAGGTATCCCTCGGCGGGGCGGGACCTGGGCACCATCTCCTCCACCAGGCGCTGACGCAGGTAGCGGGGCCGGTCGAAGGTCGGCCTCAACACTGGCTCTCCTGCTTTGCGGTACGATCCTGTAGCGAGAGAGGGTGTTGGAGACGCGACCAGGCTGGGTGTTGGACAGGTGTGTCCCAGACGTGATGGGTCTATTCACAGGTGTATAGACACAGGTGTATAGGTGTCACTAGGCATAATATATCTGATGACGTACAAGGGGCTGGGATGCAAGAAAGACCACTACCCACTGTTACCTTAACCTCAGATTTGATGGAATTGATCTACAACACAGACTTGCGGGGAGTTGAACCTAATGAGACCTGAGCAGGGAGTTCTCACATTATAGTCGAACCCCTTGGTAACTCCCTCTCTCTAGTCTCTCTCTCTCTTACAAGGCCAAGTGTTTGAGTATGTTCTGGGGTGCTCTAGTATGTGTATATCTCTTACATGATTGCTCTAGTATCAATGTTGTGTGTACATGTTGAAAATTGTTTTAGTGTGTATATGGTTCAAGCTGCCTCTAGTTCAGTGCCACCTAGGAACCTCTACACACACCAGAGCCACCTAGGAACCCCCGCCCCACACACACACACATGAAAAAGTGTACAGAAGCATACTGAAAATGAATGACAATGACGTTGCTGGGACATGCATTTGAATAAGTACATCGTATTGTGACGTATAAATCCCCTAAGGCCAAAAACCGGTGTATTAAACATCACAACGGCTCGCAAATTTGACGTGATGTCCCGTTTTCTATTCACGGGTCCCCGGTTAAGTCAGGTTCGGGCAATTTATAGTACATCAATTTAGTGACGTAGGGAACGCTGGAGGCAACTCACCGACAAAGTTCTTGAGTACAGCTGGGTGGATGGTGATGGCGTGGGCGGGGGGCGTGACCACCAACACCACCAGCACGCCCACACACGCGCCCACCGCCCCGCGCGCCCACATCACCATAG